CGCCGCTGCGAACGCACACGAAGGCGCCGGGCGTCACCGCGCTGCCGAGCGCGGATCCGCCCCGCCGGGCTCCCCGCTCTCCGAGGGGTTTAAACCACGTGTTGAAGCTCAAGTTAAAAGATGCTGCAAGCAGCAGAGTAGAAATGTGATACAGTCCGGGCTCCCATTCCCACCAGAACCCTCGCTTGGACCTTTAAGGATGAAAAGGATGAGCTGTTCTCATCAGGAATGTTTGCAGAGGAGACATCCCTGGGACAACAGGGAGGGCATCTCGCAAGATCTCCTTCCTGCTCCCGGGCTTAGATAAGTCCTTGCAAACACGTATTTGCTTCAATGAATCTATGACATTTTTAAAAGGATTCCTCCTCCATGAGGCTGTGAGAAAAAGCCCTGGCCCTGCTCAAATTCTGGGAGAAAAAGAAAAGCCTGTGGGATGCAAGAGGACAGCACAGAGCAGAGGGTCACCCAGCTGGCGCAGGGACATCAGCTCTGCTAGAAGAGGTTATGAATTACCCGACTGTCAACAGTGAATCAGCACTTGGAATAATCTATTTCGCTTTGATGAGGTTCCCTTCATCTTGGCAGGCTCCACCTGTGACCCACCGTGTCCGCCGGGCTGGACACTGTGACACTCCTGACGGGCACCGTCCCCGAGGAGGACAGAGCTACCTGGGAGGCTGCCCCTGGCCCGAGCTGCTGCTCAGGGGAAACTTTGGACATCAGGTGCGACCCTGGCTAGGACCGGCCTGGCACTTCCATGACAAACTGACTGACCGTGGGCAAGGAAACTATTTCCAACTAACCAGGAGCCAAGGGCCACGCGAGGCCTTGGGGTGGCACCAGACTTTGCCTGTTTTGGTACCCACAGAACCCACCTGGCTACCAGCAAGGAAACTGATTTGGCAAGTTCTGCACTGCAGACACTAGGATTTACCACAGTCACACTCTGGTAAGGTACATTAGCACCCTGCAAACAGCACCTAAAACCTTCCCTCCAAAAAACTACAGCAAAATCAAAGAACAGTGAAAATAAGGCAGAACTCATGGACTCACAGAACGGTTGAGGTTGGAAGGGACCTCTAGAGATCATCTAGTCCAACCCCTCTGCTCAAGCAGGGACACCTAGAGCGCTCATTGAAGACTTTAGAGCAATTAATAAGTTTATGTAGGGATTTAGAGAGGCAAAAACTGCTGTCTCAGTTGGCTGCTCTGCTAGCAATAACCGTGAAGGCGCCCGGTCTCCGTCTCGACGCCTTCCCAAGGCCGTGTCCTTCAGGCCTCCCCTCTGCTTATGGATACAGAGAGGCCAGAGGGGAAGAAAGAGCAAACACAAAAACCACACGCTCCATTTTCACCACTTGGCAAAAAACCACATGATTAAACCCACTCACCCATCCCTCTGCCCCAAATTCTAGACTTACTGGTTGGCTTGCTTGAAAAACAATAGGAAAATCCAAATAACAAAAGAAGTAATTCTGTAACCAAGTAGCCACAAAAACTGGAGCAGAAAAAATAAGTCTCAACCAAAGTGCCAAGGTTATAAGCACCCTTCTTCCCCAGATGTGCCTTCTACTCTGCACACTGAGTCATTTTAAGGCTGAGATCCAAAATAACTCGGAGATAATTCTTTTGGCCAGTTTTACTAGACTAAGTGTGCTGAACAACAGAATCCAGCAGGAAAAAGCTATTCCTGGATGCAAGGAAGGAAATTGGCATGTGGGTAACACACAGGAAGGGGCATCCTGCTTGATCAAATAAAGAACCAAGACATCCGGAGCATCACGGCTCACTCAAACGCTGTGCGTCACTCACCACTTAATAATCAATAGTCTCTGCAACTGCTGAAGGGATTTGCTCTGACCACACGGCCTTTCCCAAAAACTTCACACAGGCAGGAGGGAAAAAAACGAGAGAAAACAAATACTGCTCTGCCCTAGCCCAGCACCCGGCTTTCCTACCTGGTACTGTCAAGTCCTGAGTGTAGATATCATCTTCAATGTCATACAAGTCATCATCTTCTTCCTCGTTGTAGCCATGCAGATCTTCCAGATAAGGCACTGCCGTCATACTCCTCCACCTGTCCTTCGTCTCCGGGCTGGGAGGAATGGGGACCAGAGCCTCTGCCTGAGCGTGTTTCTTCCGAAACCAACTGCGGAGAGTCCAAGAGCAGAGTTTCATCAGCACAGCTTCACTTTTGGAAGGCATAAGGAAATCCTGGCTAGTAGGAGATGGTTCCCATTCCTCCTCGACATTCAAAGTTATGTGGAGTTTCCATTTGTACAAGAATTCGCAGCTAGCTTTACGTCCCTGCAGGTTTTTATCGTGTAACAACCTGCGGAAGGAACCTTCAAGCTCGTCATCCTCAGCCTTGCTGCTCGTGCTGCAGGGACACCAGCAGTTGCTCTTCCAACCACTGGGTGCTTTGTCATTTGAGAAGAAACGCAGGGGTCTGCCCAGCTTTGGCAGCCGGGTTTCTGCTGCAAGCCCTGCTTGAGCGCAGGCCGGGCGCGGGAGCACGGCTCGGGATCTGGAAGGAGGCCGCAGGAATGTTTCCTGTGTTACCAATTCAAGCCCAAAGCAGAGAGACAGAGGGACAAACTCCTGCTCCCTACCTCTAGTCACAGCATGTTAGCAGAGCTGCCAGAGCTCCCTTCTGTTGTGGTGTTGACGCAAGCAGAAAAGGAGAAAACTCTGCTTGTGTCCTAAAGCTCAGGCTAATGCAGCATGAGAAGAAAACCTGGAGAAGGCGACTCTAAGGAGAATGGTATTTACCCCCAAACTCCTTTTAAAAGACAGTTCTCAGCAAGATCACAGCAAAGATGCTTTATACTTTGTCTTTTTATCCCGCCTCTGCCTCAAGGGACTTCTATTACCAACAGAACCAGTGTCCATAGCGCGACCATCTGCCCCGTGAAGGAGCTCGGTGCTGGAAGCCTCCCTTAGTTATTTGGAGCATCCAGCGGGCTCGCCTCACGCCAGGAGCTCCGGAGCCAGCCGGGCGGCCGCTTGTTTTGATCGTGCTTCGCATCCGGGCTGCGCAGCCGGCCTGTCCCGGGGCCAGGCTGGCACGCAAGCCGACGTTTTGGGGACGCTGCTGCTCCCTGCCCTCCTCGGAGCGCCACGTCCTGCCCGCGGAGCGGCCGGCGCTCCCTGTCCCTAGGGCCTTCACAGGCCGCTGCTGCCATCCCCAAGGGAGGGACGGGAGGTACCGGAGCTCTCACGGCCTGGACCATCCTCGGCCCCGCGGCTGGTACCAGCACGGGCACCAAACCCTGATTCCACACTATCTCCCTCCTGCTCTTTGCACAGCAAAAAAGAGAACAACGTGGCCCAAGCAACTGCTCTATTACTGAGGTGAGCCCAACGTTATTAGGTAGGTGACACTTATGGGTGTGAAGGGACATTCGTCCTCTTCCACTGCCACAGGCAGCCATGTTAGCTCTTCCCTCTCCCGCATTATTTCAGGCCCCAAAGGGTGCAGCTTTAGGTCTCTTGAACATCCACCTCAAGCAGAGTGAGAAGATCTAAAAATATCATCACGCTGCACGTTTATTTCTTGACCTACCTCCAACTGCTGCCCTAAATAAGCCCAATGTGAGACCAATGTTCTCCCCTCAACAGTTCAGAGACACCAAGTAACTCCTGGCTAAGAACTGCTGAGAAGACGTTGAAGCCAGTCACCAAAGAGCTCTTATAAACCTGAGACATCTGCTTTTTATCACTCCAGCTCCAAATTCATTTTAGAAAGTAAGGGTTGGATGCACCTCTTGCACGGAAGAGTTATAATTATCATTTTGTTCTAGTCTTACACTGCTTTGACACTAGGCCTAAAAAAAGGTGGCATTCTAATAAAACTACCCTGTGAAAGCAAGGAGTGAGGAGATAAATAAATGAAAATGAAACTCCAGGGACAAATCAGCCAGCATTCAAAGAAGGAAGGAGCTCTTATTCAGAAAGCCGGCTTCACAATTAGCAGATACGATTTCAAAGCAAAATTATAAAGCAAAGGAAAATGGATTAGCTTCAAGTTTTTAAACCAATCTACTGCTCCATGAGGAAGTCAGCATCTTGCCACTCGCAGCAAGGAAAAGTTGGTCCCCTCTGCCTTAAGTTTCTATAAGGTTAGTACGTTCCACTTATGCATTGATGTAGATCCAGTATTCCACAGAAATACTGGAAGCCACAGCGAGAGAGACATTTTTGAAATAAACATTTCAAGGATATGACAGAAAACTGAATGCACATGCATTTTGTTGAGTGCCCACGAAGCTGGCAGTATGAAAGTCAAAGACAAGGTCATCCCAGCTACCAGACTAGCAGGAGGTCAGCATGCCCAATACAACTAGAACTTGGCCAACAGCTTCGGCAAATCCTGCTGATTCCTTCCTCAGACTGGTTCCTCAGCAGCTGAGATGTGCACGGCACACAACACAATTTGCTCATTTGCTTTCCTTTCCTTGGGAGGCTGCTTTCATCAGGGAAACGACTGTCAAGACAGCAAATTCAGCCTGGGCTGATCTAGCCTGGCAGGATTGTCTAGTGCAGGAAGAGAGGACCCAGCGCAGCCACCAGCTATTTTTGCCAGGGGCACTGGAGCTAGATGGAACTAAACTAAAAGCTAGGAGCTTCAGGAGAATGGGATTCACAAGATGAATAAGATCAGAACAATTGCCATTAAAAAGGTTTTTTAAAGGAAGAAAGACTAGAAAGCTCCACCAACTAGTGTTTTTATTTTGCTGTATTTTAGCTCAGCCCTTTTCTTTCCTTCTGTCCTACTTACCAAGAGAGTAAAAATAGGTTTTATTAACAGCTAAAACCTGAATCACTGTACTCCAGTCATAAATGATTCTATCCTCTGGGAGGTGATTTCAAATACTTGCATATGCATATATGGTAATGAGGATGGAGAATGAGAAGAGAAATTCATTGAAGTTCTAAGAAAATCAAAGACCTCTTGGAAGGAGCCTCAAGCAATTCTGCACGGAGTAGCAGCGTATTTCCTGGCGAGCGCTGCTCCAGCAGGGACAGGGATTCTGCTTTTTACGCTGGTGCTGAAGACATTATTAGTGAGGAAATGATTTGCTCTTCCGCTGAGGGCCACTGGCTCCTTCACACGGCCTAAACCTGCTCGAGATGCTACTGGATACAGCTCTGCTAAAAAGCAGCTGCTCCCCCGCGGTGCAACTATCCCCCCGGCAGCGAGGTAGCGCCGATGACTGTCCCTCCCTCACCCTGCTTCATCACCAACATTAAAGCAGAGGCTGGGCTGGAATTCCTCTAACCAAAGAGCCTGCTTGACCATTTGTTCCCAAACAATTTCACTGCTGATTTCTGAGCAAACCGCACCGCAGCAGCGCACACAGTAATTTATTTGCTACCAACAGAGCAGTCCCTTAGCAGCCAAGGGGGAAAAGGTTTGTGCAGATCTCAACGGTGCCACTTGCACAGAACAGAGCCCCTGCAAGACGCAAATTCCTCTGATGGGGAAGGGCTTCTTTGCCACTCGCAGCGATCTGAAACAGGCTGAAGGGACCTCTAGGAGGGGAGAGAGCATTTCGCACTGCTTTGCAGGCGTGTTGAGACTGCTGTGGAGCTCAGACTCCAGGCAGCAGCAGCAGGAGCATTAATAGTTAAACTACCAGTTAAGTGGCATCCAGAAGGGTTGCTATCACCTACAGGGAGTAGAAACAGCAAGGGTCAAGGACTGAATGACAAAAATGAACCTAGGTAGATGAGGGCTTAATGAGCCTGTCTGCTTTGCAGCTTCTAAGCTCAAACACCACGTTAGAAGTCATCACTCTGCTCCTTTCAAGTTCTGGTATAAGTGAGGTTAAAATAAGAATCAGCAAGCACAGCTGCAGCTTCCAAACACTTAGAGCTAATTCACTTCCCATTCTAGGTCACAAATATTTCAGTTTGCTTGTTTTGGATGGGACCAATTTTCTCTGAAAGCAGATGCCAAGCTGCAGGTCTTCGTCCTGCCAGAAAGGATGGATTAGGAGTGATTTTCCGCCTCCCAGCACTTCGTGTAAGGGGCTTCATACTTTCTGGCAGGGCACCAGCACCACACCAAAGCACCACCGCGCTGCAGGAGCCTTCGGCTGCCCTCGTGCAGAGGAGGAGGGCACAGCTGGGGAAAGACAACACATAACACTAATAAATGTGTAGCGTAGTCAGGCTCATCAAAAACTAGAAGTAATTAAGAGCCAGTTTTCCCCTAGCTGATGCTAGCCCCACAGGTCACAGTTCAGACTCCTACACAGGAGGAGAACTGTGTTGTGTGCACAGATGGAGGTGCTGAATCCCTTAACTCACCACACACACAGTTGCATTATGAAATTAATTTGCAAAACGTGGGCAGAAGAACTAAAGATTCCTCCCCATGGGCCTGCCACAGAACGAAGCAGAACCCAGGGGCCGGAACAAGAGAGGCAAGGAGGAGAGTTTGTGCTTCTCCCTCTGTCATGTTGCACCGAGGAGAGATTCTCACACAACACTGTGACACCACTGCCACAAAGAGATGGAAAACCCTCTTGGTACCTAAACTCCAGTGGCAGCAAAGGGAAAACCTGCTGGTTCCCGGAATCCAGGCAGCCGAGACAACCGATGTGCTCGGCACCCGCACCGGGATCCACAGGGCAGCACAGAGGCAGCTTCCAAGAGCCCCGGTGCGCAGGACAACACAGAAGAGCACCAGTTGTGGGTGAGCAGGAGCGGCTGGGAAGGGGCTGGGAAGCTGCTCGGTGCCTGGGAAGGTCGGCGGGAGCGCCAGCCCGGGAGGCTCCTTGGCACTTCCACCTTTTATCGGTGCCGGTGTCTCCCCTTTCTTGCTATAAACTCCTGGAAGCCAATCTAGGACTGAACGAATTACGGGTGACACTTCTGGAGAAGGCAGGCGAGACGGTTGCTGTGGAAACAAGGGACAGAGGCAGAATCCTGCATCCACTCCATCACGCGAGCGCTGCAGCAGGGCCCACGAGTTAGGTACAAAACGCAGTTCAGGAGCATTAAGCCCTTCAGCCAAAGCACGAGCAAGAGAGAAATGAACAACTGACAGGGAGAGGTTGCCAACTCCTGCACTGTAATTCAGGGGTCAACTTCTGACATCCTATAGCCCCTCCGCAACGAAGGGCTGAGGTTTTAATCTAGTGCATTTCAACTTACAGCTGGCAAGTCTGCCCTGCACAAACCACCTGGGCTTGGAAGGTCTTTAAAGCAAAGAATGGGCTAAGAAAACTTTGCTGAATTGTAACAAAATGCAGGAACGCGGAACCGATGTCAGAGCCTGGCTGCAGGGATGAAGCAGAGAGGAAGGCAGCTGGAGACTGAAACAACGCAGACTGCCTCGAGATTGCTCCAAATGAGGCTGCTGCTGGCGGAGGAGGAAGCTCTGCTTGGGGCAGCTCACAGAAGCAGAGCAGGGAAGGACAGAAGGGGAACGTGGAGCCCAAAGTGCCCCTTTGCCTCTGATTTCCATAGCCCAGTGCCCATCTCAACACGGGGACGAGTGGGAGAAACCCAACGTCAGGAATAACCTCCTCCTACCCCTACTCGTCTAGAAATCAAGTTTCTGACTAAAACACTCTCCAAAAAGCTTTCTAACAATGTTTGGATGGCTACCTGCTGTCCCTCGAACGCCTTTGTTCAGTTTTAAATAAATCGGAGCAGGTTAAGGGTAAGGACAAAGCTTCTCCTCTATTTAAAGAGAGCCAGGAGAATTGAGCGCTGGATTCTTTAGCGCAGGGCTCCTCCACAAGGAGGAGATGGACAGACCCAGCCGGAGCCCGAGGCTGCAGGCTCTGCTGTGCTTGATGTAATTATTAGGATGCCACAGCAGGAGGAAGGAGGCAATTACTAATAGGGGAGAAAAGCCTGTTAAGAAGCACTGGCTAAGCTCACAGCAAACTAATAAGAGACTGAGCCTTGAAAAACATTTCTGTACTGGCAGGTAGAGTTTCTCTCCGATCCCTTTCTTGGTGCTTTGATGTTGAAAGCCGCAGCACTAGCAGCCGTGCCCAATTAGAAAGAAAGTTGTGGTTCTGCAGCACGGGCATTTGCGCCTGCCCTCCACGCTCTATTTTTTCCTGCTCTCTGACTACATGCAGGGCCTCTAGAGAAACCTCTCTGCTTCCAGCTGGGCAAAGCTGACGCAAAAGCTCATGGACACGTGGGAGAAGGAAATCAAGTATATCAAAAACAGGGTAACTAGCTCAAATACCTGGCAGATAGTGACACTGCAGAGCCACCCACAGTGCCTGGAGCCAGGGGCGATGCAGTGCTGCGTCTGCACCCACAGCATGGACAGAAAACCAAGTGCTCTTGGTGTTTCCCTGCCTCCTACCAACCTGCTCTGCAGGTGACTCCGGCCACGTTTGCGTGCAGCGCTCGTGTGACCGTCCCCAAGCCCATCGCTGCCCTGCTCCAAGCTGTGATGAACAGAACTGCTCCTTCCCCTCGCGGCACAGCCGCGGCGCACGGTGCCTCGCAGCCCGACCAGGAGCGCTCCGCTCCTCCGTGGCGGATGGGAAAGGGTCCCTGTCCCAAAGCTCGGCGCCGCAGGTGCCCCGCAGCACCGAGGGCAGCCCCGAGCAGCCTCTCGTGAAACACCAGTGCCGGGGAGCACGTGCACGGGGAAAGGAGCTCTTGCAAAGCGCCTCCTGGAGCCAGCAGACCCAGCAAGGCCAAGCTCTTGGCTGCTGCTCAGAGCCAGCACCAGCAGAGCCTTGTGGCTGAGCCTGTGTCTCTGCAGAGCTTGGATCTGCGGCTCCTGCAGATGCCTCCCGTGCTGCAGCACCTACCCGGGACCACCATCCGGCAGCACGTGGCTACCAGCGGGGCTTCTCCAGAGGCCCGAGGAGAGCTCCCTTCCTGCCCCAGGCCCGGCAGCGCGCGAGGCTCCCGTGCGTCCCGCGAGCAGCTGCAGTCCAGCAGGCAGCTCCGCGTGTCCTCGGGAGCACTTCCTACTCCAGCAGCAGATAAGCTAATGCGGCCTCCGCGCTCAAGCATCCTCATGATGCTTTTTGTTCTTGTGCTTTTATCCGCCCAGGAAATCTCTGCTCAGAGGCAGCGTGTTCAAACAGATCCTCAAAAAAAAAAAAACTCCTGGAGATAACGGGGCCTTTCCCTCTCTGACAGTGGCAAGGATAAAGGGGGAGGATGTGGGGGAGAGAGCAGCATGACATTAAAGAGATCAAGAAAAATTCTCATTGTCCAGAAGACTTCTCCACATACTGATTCCACATGGAGCAAATACCAAGGGATTTCTCTCAAACTGTCCAGGAAGAAAAGCCTTAAAAAACATTAAGAATTCTACTTCAGTAACCCAGCCTTAATGAAACCCCCGTTCCTCTGCTCCATTCATCTCAGTTGGCCCCTGAAAAAAAAAAAAAAAAGAATTATCCAGAACCCTTAATTATCATGAACCAGTCACACTAGAAACATATTCTCGACACATTCATTATTTACCGGTTAGCAATTCAAATGCTTTAACCGGATGCTCTAATAGGAAAGCGAAGCTGAGCAGAGGCTGCCAGGGCTCCAGCAGCGCGGGAGGAAGGGTGCCCAGCGCCTTCCATGTGTCTGCTGTCAGGAGGGAAGATGAGTGAGAGCAACAGCACAGGTACATTAGCATAGGAAGCAGAAAGAGAATGACTAATAGGAAGAAGCCGAACACTCACTTGTGCTGCCTTATCTGCTGTATTGAGAATCTCTTGGCTGGGTCGTATTCAAGCATCCCTGAAAAGAAGGAAAAGAAAAAGTCCAGGTGTGATCACAGATGCATTGAGGACAGGAGGCCGAGCTCTGTCCTGCCCCCCTCCCTCCACGGTCACCGGAGCTCCGGCCTTCCGCAGCCTCGGGAAGGGGCTGCCGAGACGCCTGGGGACGGAACCCCCCTGCTGACACCTCGGCAGGGCGGAACGAGCCCCTTCCTCAGCGTCCCCAAGGAAGGGGCCACGACACTGCAGGGACGGGGGCTCGGACAGCCCCGCGGCGGCCACCCCGGCATGGGGACTCTCATGTCACGGGTCTGGCTCTCCCCATGGCACTTCCTGGCCAGGACACCCAGCTGCTCAGCGCCCCAGAACCCCCCCTTCAAGGGACAGTCTCTTTGGAAAGGGCAAATGGAAGGCTAAATCATCATCGTCATCATCCTGGCGCCAACCCTTTTGCATAAAATTGTGAATCCTGGCATCAGCTGCTAAGAAACCTGAGGTTAGGGTGGAAGAGAAGAAAAAAAAAAAACAAAAAAAAAAACAAAAAAAAACCCCCAAACTTATCTATATTCTCTCAGGCTCTCTTGGAGAGAAGGTGGATTGCTTTTAAAAAAAAAGAAAGGAAACCAGACTCCTGAGATGTTCACATGTTCACTCTGCTCCACTGGCCTTAAAAACCTTCACAGCTCAGCAGAAACTAGGACATCTCGCCCTATTCTTCAGGAACAAGCCAATGGGACCTAGCAAGACTCGCCTAGCAGCATCCAAGATATCCTCCAGTGAAACTTCCAGGAATGAATCCATCTCCTGAATGCTACAGGGCCTGGCTACTGTTCACTGCAAGTGGTTTTGCTTTTATTGGATGATAACCCCCTGCCGTGGAAGCTCTTCCGCCGCTTCCTAGCAGAGGATGTGGGCAGGGGTGAGAACAGGAAGGCAGCGGCTCCCCGGAGCAGAGGGGAACCATAGAACCATGGAATGCTTAAGGCTGGAAGGGACCTCTAGAGATCATCTAGTCCAACCCCCTGCACACGCAGGGTCACCTAGAGCACGTGGCACAGGGCTGCGTCCAAGCGGGTTTTGAAGATCTCCAGAGAAGGAGACTCCACAACCTCTCTGGGCAGCCTGTTCCAGGGAAGGGAGCAGGGCAGAGCAGCGCCGCGAGTGGGATGGGAAACGGGCCCGGCCCAGCGGTGCCAGCGCAGAACGCGCTCGACACGGTGGAGGGACGAGGGCAGCAAGCGCCGCTGCTGACGCTATCAGGAGCGCAGCACGGAAGGGGACACTGAAGCTCGAGTCACAGGGCCTGGCAGGTGACTCAACGCAGCGCCGCGGAACGACGTTAGAAATAAAGCAGCAAGAGCGCAGACGGCAGCAAAGCAGGTGCAGAACGGTCCCTTCCTTGCCAGGTCGGTCTGTGCTACCGTAATGATCCAGGGACTATTGTAAAAACAAAAAGCCTATTCAGAGCAACTGAATCTGGCACAGATGTGTCTGGAGGGCACACGTGTGCTTAGAAAAGAACTTACGAAAGCAGGGTTTTTTGTCCATAAAGCCAATTATTTCTTTTTTTTCCTCCAGCCAAAAGGCTAAAATTGACCCCAAATAAAGTTTTATCACTCGAAGTCCAGCAAGGAGGCAGAAGTCCACAACCTGCCCCTGAAAATGAGCAGCTCTTATCTTGTAAGGCACTCTTGGCTCTTCACAGCAAGTTAGCGGGACGTTAGACAATTCACGAGTGGGCAACTAATCCCATTGCTGTATTTGACTTGTTTAAGAAGAGTTGAAGAATGACAAAATAAGGCTCAGGGTAGAAAGACTAGTGTTTTTTCCCTCTTCAAACAAAACTACAGTTCATACTTTATCTTATTAGTGCAACTGGAAACAGGTAGCTCAGGAAAGCATCGCTGCGGTGGACTGTTTGCTTTTGGAATCCAGCTCGTTCGCAGCGTCAGGATGAAATTCGGCACATCCAGGCAGGCAAAACTGCACAAACTTCATCAAAACCCCAGGTGCAACGGGACAGCCTGGAGGTTTTTGTGCACACACCTGGGATTCATTTTGCTGGGGTGTTTCAGAATGGAAGGTGGAGACGCTCATAAACAGCTTGTATTGGCCAAAGGAAAAATAATCATGGACTCGTTCAAACACTATTAGAGGAATGACAGGGCTACCAGATTTAGGGCATTTACCAGACAAAACAGTACGAGCAGAGGATAAGGTTTTAGGGCAAGTTATTGGAAGGGGAATGGCAGCACCAGTTCCAGTAGCTGTGGTGCAGCAGAGACCTGCGTTGTTCTCAGACAGGCAATTAAAAACGCACGGAGGAGGTAAGTGAGCAAAAAACTTGCAGTAACAGGATTGTGTTTTGGGCAATGCTTGCGAGAAAATGGGTAATCCAATCACTGCAAATGTACATTCACGTATTCAGCTGGATGACTCACTCATGGCAGTTCTGTGGCTAAAGTCCTGTACTGAAAAGAGACTTCATAAAGACAAAACATTATGTACTCTGCACCAGTCAAGTCGTCTAGGGGCGTCTGCCCACAGTAACCACACAGACTCTACCATTTACGGTAAAGATTTCCAGGCAGTTTATCTGGGAGCAGAGATGAGACGCTGCCACAGAGGGATTCTTCGGAAGGATGCCCAGCTCCATCCTCTGCTCCCAGGAGGGGATTCGCTGTGCCCATACATGGGAGATCAGCCCCGCTCCTGGACTTTGGCAGGCTCAACCCCCTTTCGAATTATGTCAAGTGGCAATTGGGAAATGAAGACCACAAATCTGCGCGAGCTCCCGTTGCAGACTCCAGCCCACGGGCGGTCGTAGCCCTGACCGAGGAGTCGCTCACGCGGATGGTAGAATAGCTGGTTTTTAAACACAGCATAACCTGGGAGATGGCTTTACAAGAGGCACGAAGAAATCTCTTAGCACAAGGGCCAAGCAAACGCAACCCATGTTTTATGTCAAAGTCTCCAACTCCGGCCGGCCCCGAAAACAGCCGATACGGAGCGATGTCAGCCCAGTCCGTAAAACAGAGCAGGAAGCTGCTCCGTGTCCCGCTCCGAGCACGGGCAGGTCCCTCCGCAGGCAGAGCCGGGTTTTGATCCGGCTCGATTCCCACCTCCCGGACTGCAGCCACCGTCCCTTGACGAATGGCTCCGGGCCCCGCTGCCAGCACAGCATCAAACACCCCCCACCTGCATTCCCCAAGGAAAGACGGAACGCGGGGAGTGTCAGCAACTTGTCCCTGCTCACAAAATCATTCCAGAGCCTGGAACGAAACCCAGGCGGCTGCCACGGGCTTCAGACACTCAACTTTCTCTTTTGGTACAAGGGCATTAAAGAGGAAGAAAAGCTGACCTTGTGCATTCTTCTTATCCAGAAATAAGCTGCATGGGAGTTGATAAGTCACCCGGAGATGGTGACGGCAGAACCTTAAGGCTATTTGTAAATGCTTCCACTCTGACACATCTTTGCTGGCTGCGCACACAGAAGCCAGAGCAGCTCTCTAGCTTATTTCCCTCGCTGAAGAGTATAAATAAAGCTTCATCCCTGATTAGGGAGACAAAAAGAGGAGCAGTATCCCAACTAATCTGCTGAAATACACCATCGTGCAAGGCTCTTGATAAGTTAAATAACAGAAGCTTTAGGTTCTTTAAGTTGTTCCCTCTGGAAAGAGCGACAAAGTATAAACAAGCTCAAGGGGAAAGAGTATGAAAAACACTTAAAAATGTGGCCAAAAGAAGAGCAGAAAGGTTTAAAAAGTGCATTCTAGATTTGCTGCGCAGCTGAACATGGTCAGCACTTATGGTCAGGGAGGAAACAAGCACTTTGCGATGCACCGAGCAAGCGCTCGCAGCACGGCTGAGTGCTGAGGGCCTTAGGAGCAGCGCAAAGGCAAAACAGGCCCCAGGGGGACAGAGCAGAGGGGGCCTGCGCTGCTCCAAAAGCCTCACGCAAGCCCTGAGCACCGGGGCTGCAGGCCTGCAGGTGGTTTCATGCTGCCACAGAAGCAGGGGGCACCTACCAGGAGACACGGCGGCGCTGGGGGCAGCAGGACGCAGACGTCAGCACCGCTGGCTGCCGCGTTGGGGACGTCCTCGGCCTCCGCGCGGCTGTCGAAATCCCTCCCTAGAGGGCAAGCAGCTCGGGTGCTCCGAGCTCTCGGAATAGGGAGCGTGCCAAGGCAGACGAGCAGGGTCAGGAGTTCCTGCCCGCTTTTGGCGTGCAACAGATACAGCAACGACAGGAGCCGGGGGAGAAGGGTCTAAGATGGGACTGAGGGGAGCGGAGCAGACAGACAGCAGCTAAGATGAAGATAGTGAGGCAAAGAGGCTGGAAAAGGCAGTTTTAGCCATGAGAAGGACTTGGCTGCACGACTCCTCTTTAGACCGAGGCAGAAGAGGTGGGGAATTCTGGCTCCAGTCTTGTCCGGGGATGAGACGGGAACTGAAGGGAGCTGCTCTTCTGATGGAGCCCAAGGGCTGGAGCTCCTGATAGCCCAGGACAAGGAAAGCAAAGCAGCAGCTACGCATCCCCCTGGGGCAGCAGTGAGCAGCGGAGAGGCTCATCCCAAACCGCAGATCACTGCGGCTGGGTGACCCAGGGGGCTGCCTGCCAGCCTGGGTGGACCCTGGATTTATTCCATTGGGAATTTTCCAAGCCCGTATGGAAAAGGCAACATGTTGAGCCAGCACTCTCAGACCGGGCACCACATGCAGCCGAGAACAGCGACCCTGGGGCAGGAGATGCGACGGGAACCGATCCATTGGGAGCAGCGGTGCCAGCTGCGCTGAGGGCACCTTGCGACCCTGCAGCTCGCGAGGAACGCACGGGAAGAGCTTATTCCTGGAGCGGGGATGGAGGCAGGGAAGCTAAAAGGCTCTGGGTGCCATGGGGGTCCCGCGGACGCCGGACACACCGGCGACCACGGCCGCCGGACCG